CCATAAACCGATTAAGGAGTAACCATTATAATTTAAATTCTTCCCTGGCTGGATTTTATATTGTAAACTCTCCTATGTGTAATTGTGGTCAGTCGCATGAAAATATCGATCATGTCTTATGGAACTGCATTAAATATAATAACCCAAGAACTGTATTTATTAACAATTTAAAAAAAACTGGAAACAATCCACCTTACTCAACTATTGCACTTTTCAAAAAACCATCAGCTGATATTCTGAATGCCCCCCTTTGAAACTTTTCTCCGCTCAACTAAACTATCCATTTAAACTTACCGCCCTCTTCTCTCCATTTCCCTTCACGAACCATATGGCCGCAAGGGGGAGCTTCCCGGTGCCACTACACATCTACTACTACTACTTGCTTGAGTTAAATTAATTGAATTTGTTGAGTTTATAGAGCAAATTTTATTGTAATAAAAAAATGTCAACTGCAAATCAGTCTATGAAAGAAACAAATAATGTTGGTATGTATGTGTGTGTGTGTTGGTATACCTCTTTAATAGATATAATTATATATATATGTATATAATTATATTTATTAAACTCAACAAATTCAATGAATTTAACTCAAGCAATACAAGACAGCGTCGAGTTGTCATGAATCATAAAGGTTCTAGATGGTTATGTATATCTCATTGTCGGTCCTAGTGAAACTAACTCGAACTTGAATTATCGTAAACACCCTAAGTCAGGAAAAGAGTCTCTGGCTATATATATTAAATTGAGAGATCTAGACGCAAAACTTTTGTATAATTTTCAATAGTCTGCAATTTTAGAAAGAGAAATAAATGATGATAAAAGTCATACGTGGAATCTATAAAAATTATAATCATAATTTAATTTAATTTAATCTTGTTTCTCAGACTGTAATAAAAAATGTATATAATTTGCGAAAAATTTTGAAGAATGTAAATTTTGCATGTAAACGTTATATCTGAATTTTTTATTAAATATAATTTAAAATAAATTGACATCGAGTTCCTATGTTATATCGATGAAATTATCGAAAATAAAAAAATTATTTTAATAAAAAGTAGAATCAAGTAGAGAATATTGTCGACATAATACATTCAGAAAAAAATTAAAAATGTTTTCGGTTAAAATTGGGAAAACTGGAAGGTGTTGTGTTCATATCAAAATCTTATCTTACGAACATTTATCGCTCCCATAAATAACACTTATCCCGAAATTAAGGCTCTTCCACTCTAATTCGTGAGCTTTATTATACTGGTGCATTATAACGCGAGCATATGCATTGCGGAAGCTATCCAATCGCCCTTCCTCCCACCCTACTTTCCCTCTAATCCGGGGTAACATGCGCAAGCTCTCAAAACACGCTATGGCTTTCATCTGTTCTTAAAGCTCGCTGTAATTAATTTTTTTGTCGGCAGCATGTGCACGATTTCAAATTTAGAGATAAAATTCAAAATTTTTAACTCTTGCAAAGATATATTACGGCCTTCTAAATATATCTTTAATTAATTGAAAAAAATTATTAAATATTTAATTTGTGCTATTTGATTTTTATTTAAATATATATATTGTTTATTTAATTATTTTTAAAAATTATTTTTAGAAGGAAAGGTATATTAACGATTCATGTATTCATACATGAATAATTAAGTTTACCAAAATATGAATAAACATAGAAAAATATATCATGATCTGTTTGTGTAACAATGACATTTTTCAACGAGCGTTACACAGTTATAATTCCATCCTTCTTTTTTCGTAAAATACACGGATTCAAGAACCTCAAACGTTTGCAAATCTCACCAAATAATCTCTTAAGTCTAGAATACATAAGCAAGTACTCACCATGAAGAAGACTGTGTAGGTATCGTCGGAAGTGTTCCAGGTGGCAGAGACCTCCTCATCTGGCAACAGGCTCTGCCATTGGACGCGTCTCCGCAACAGGCGGCTGGATTTGTGCACACATGACGGCTAACACCAACGCCGGTCGTTGATGTGGTCGTCGCGGCGCCGACGGTGCCGGCGGCGGCGCCAAACTCGACCGCGGACGTACGCACTTTGGGCCTCAACAATGGCGACGTGGCGAATGTTTCGCGCTGATTAGACGTCGTACTGCTGGAGCTGCTGGAACCGGGGCTTCCGCCTAGCCGGCCGGACGTCGCGTACGCAAATCCGCGGAACCGAAAGTGTGTCTGGTACGGATAGCCGGCGGGCGGCGGTAGCCGATAATGGTGATGGAAGCCAAGGTCGCGACGCATGTATGGATCACCAGAATCGCTCGCGGGTACGTATCGATCAGTCGGCGTATGCGCTGCGGGGGGCACATATCTGTCCACGTACCTGGAAAGTCATAAAATTCAAGGTTTAAAAAGATACTCTTATATTAAAATGGTGATAAATCGACTTTTCACTTCTCTTTGTCAAGTTTGAGGTAATAAAATATGTTTCTGAAATATTAATATTTTGAAATACTGCAAAATTTCGTAATTAGAACTTTATCAAAGCAATATATATTACAAAAGTTATGAAAAAATCCACGTTCATTCTTTAAAAATTGATAAAATTCTTTTAAAGCAAAGATAGAGAGATTTTTTCTAAAAATGCAGAAAATATAATCATTTGTTTATGATACTTATTCTTACCTTTCTGGATAGAGCACTTCGGGGGGTGGTTGGGGTACATATCGTTCAACGGGAGTATGCGCAGTTGGGGGTACATAGCTCACGCTGGACGAGCAGTATGTGCGATCGGTGGAAGACGTCGCAACTGCAGTAGCGCAGGAGATGGGCGTTATACGACTGGTGAACCTATCCTTGGGCTTCGGCAAGGACAGGTATTTGTCAGCGACGCTGCGCGCCGGCGAATAGCGTTCAGCAGAAGTATGAAAGCGGTCAGTTCCGGAAGAATTCTGAAATCGATCGCCACTGCCCCCGGAAGCGAAGTAACGATCCTGGCTGAACTGGTGATCGTTCTGATTGCCGACTGTGTAGCGATCGTAGCTGCTTTGAACCGACTTCGAAACCAGATATTTGTCGACGGTGCTCTTCGCGGTCTGATAGCCGCTGCGGTGGATGTTAGACGAAGTTTCGGATGTAGGCGTGAAGCGCTCGTTGGTTCCCGATCCCGACTGAGTACCGGTGGTCGCCGTGTAGGGCGAATGATATCTGGTGCCTAAGTTTCGAAAAGAGAATTGATATTGCATGTGGATTAATCACAGAAGGAAATTTTCACGAGCTTCGAAAGATCATCAGTGAGTGATAAAATTTTTAAATAAAACAATTAAAGAATGTATAATTGAGATTTTAAATGTTTAAGTAGGAAAAAAATATTAAAATTATCTACAAAGCTGACGATACGAATATTTTGACATAGAAAAAAACTAAGCCTTCTTAGTTTAACTCTTTTCTTTTTAAGAAACACGAATAACGAGCTCACCAGTTTCTGAAGAGGAGGACGACGAGGAGGACGTCGGCGCCAGCAGACGTTCGGTAGAGGAGACGATATAACGCGGCGTCTCGGCACTGGACAGTCTGCCGTCGTGTGCGGGTGACGATCCAGCCAGGTATCGATCGGTCGAAAATCTGTCGGTCGACCGTGACTGGCCGCAACGCTGTAGTGCGAGGTCGTTGAAGCGGTCGTTGCTAGACACGTATCGCGTCTGATTGCTGACTTCCGGAAAGCCGGAATATCGGCCAAAGTCGGCGGATGCCGGAGAACCAATTGACCGATCGGTGTACTTCTGACAAACCGTCTCGACGCCTCTATCAGTGTAGAGACGCCGGTTCTGTTCGGAATTATTGGAAGAAGTTTGAAGAGATGTGCGATCTGCAGATGAATAGCGCTGATGCGCGCTCTCAGGATTAGGCGAATTCGAGAGGAACCTGCAGAATTGAGTAAATGTACATAAATGCTTCGCAATGTAGGAGATTCACCTATAATTTGTAAAATTTATTTTATATTTTTAATTTTAACACTTGTATTTAATTAATTAAATTAGGGATATTGATTTTTGTAGAAAATTGCACACCGCAGCACTAATTGACAAAAACGAAACATTTCCAAATAGGTCAATTTTTTAATTTGCACAGAAAATTCACAAAATTTTAACAAATATTCGTGTAAAATTTTATATTTGGATTGACTAATTAAAAAGTTTAACAGTTATTTATTATTAATGAAAAATGGTTGAATTTTGAAACATCTAATAAATCGATTTGGATAATGCAAAAAGATATAATATTCAAAACTAATATAAATTTTAACTGTTTTGTTGGAGAAAATATTTGTAATTGTAATTTTTTCTCTAATCAATGATAAAGAGAGAGAGAAACTTTGAGATGTATTTATTATAAATATTCCGTAAGATTAACGGGAAGAAATAGCATAACAAACAATTTCAAAAATCGCGGAATGAATTGCGTAGTGCATCGATTGTATTTTGCTGCAATTTTAGACGAATAACTTTTAAATCAATCAGTGAACTCTGAACGAAATTTTGGCACAAATATTTTTTAGAGTTCTGTTAGTGCAAATAAAAAGTTTGATCTGACTAGAAATGTTCTATTTTTGTCAAATTTGTCAGTAAGTGCTGCGGTACACGATTTTTTCACAAAAATCAAAAGATAACAATTGAATAACTTCTAACTTGAACTGACCTCTCGGCCGTCGCCATCGTCGAATATCGCTCATGATGTGCTGCCGTTGATGCGTCCTGTCGAGGATATCTATCGTGAATGGGCGATTCGCCCAAGTACCTTTCCGATTTGCCGACGAATCTCTCCGGTACCGGAGCGTGTATCGGCGAGGAGGATAGTATCTTGTCCGCGGAAATGGCGGCGTAGCGAGTATCTTTGGCGTATACTCCACTATTCTGGAGTCCCGTTTGTAATCCAGCCTGAAGTCCTCCCAGGACCGGGGAGGACCCTGATAGCAGGCGGTCCGGTGGTCCAGCGTAACGTTGTTGATCCTTAGCGTCGCTCGTGACTGACTGCTGATTAACCAGCAGCCGTTCGGCGGAGGCGAAGCGCTCCTTGGCGGACATCGGCGATGCTGAAGCGGCGCCGTCGGCGCTATACTTGGACCCCGGAGAATTGGGGGGCAGAACGCGATCAGCAGCAGTGTAATCAGCCAGACTCTGGCTCGAGGCATACTTCTCGCTCGGACTGGGCGACAATGGCGGTGGCGGGACGAAGCGGTCGTTCGCCGGCGCCGGCGACGGCGGTGACGGGAACGTCTCCGAGGCGAAGGGACCCGCGAGCGCGTTCGCGTTCGCGTACTCATTGGAACCGCTCGAACTCGCCGTGTCGAAACGCAACTCCGGATTGCAGACTGAGTAACGATCGTTCGCGGGCCGCTGCTCGCCGTGCAGCGCGCTGAGATCGTTGAATCGCGCGAAACGATCGGCGCCGGTATGCGCGCCGCCGTAGTGTCCCTGCAACGAGGACTGACTGAATGTCGAAGTCTGATAATGCCCGAAACGCTCGCAACTCGACTGTCGGCCGTCAGCGGTGCACTTGGTGAAATCGACCGACGGTTTGTCGGACGACTTCTCGTGTCGATCGGCCATCCGCACACCGACATGAGTCTGATCGCCACTTTGGGTCTGATAGTGTCCGAAACGCTCGCAACTTGTCTGACGACCCTCTCCGCACTTCGTGTAATCAATGCAAGACTTGTCCGCGGTCTTGTCGTGCCGCTCACCTCCCATTCGGACCCCCACATATTCGCCGCTCTGGGTCTGATAATGCCCGAAGCGCTCGCAACTCGACGGACGACCCTCTCCGCACTTGGAGAAGTCGATCGTTGACTTTTCTGCGGTTTTCTCGTGCCAATCGACCATTCGGGACCCGACATGCTCGTTACTTTGGGTCTGTTGATCCGACTGGCTCGCGGTACTCGTGACCGGACGCAAATCGGACGATTGCTGCTGTTTAAAGCAGTCACTGGGATTGCTGAGGCTAATCTGTGTCCCCACGCCGGCGGAACTCGGTGCGCTCGATCCGGGAAGCGGGGATGACGAAGACCCGTACTGAGCAATCGGGTGCTGGTGCAACAGGAGACGATCTCTTCGGCCATAGTCGTCGTCTGTCGGCATCCTGATGGCCCGGGGCCCACTGTCAGGACATCTGCAATCAAAATTGTGATCGCAAACTTTAGATTGTACAAAAACATTATTTATGATACGGAATCTAAATTTAATATGATATAATACATTAATAAAACATATATGGAAAATATAAAATTTATAGATACAATAAATTCATAAATTAAAATAAGATATATTTGTTCTATTATGTTTTATAATGTAAAATGCTGATCGTATAAAAAATAAAATAAAAATAAAATTTATTCAATGCATTTAATTACGCACAATATTTATATATAAAGATACCGTTGGATATATTTTTGATACATTAGAATCGAGTGGTCTCATATATTTTTTACATTTCTCTTAATTCTTTTTTCTCTATCCCGATTTTCCTTCTCAACCATTTGCATCTCAATCTTCGTGATGCATTGCGCGAGACACAGAAACCTTCGATAATTCGATATAAATATGCGATCGACCGCTTTTATTCATCGTGACCATTATATCGCCATTCTTTTCGCATAGTAACAACAAAATTAAAATTGGAAATTAAATACATCCTAATTTTCCTATCATTAATTTAAATTGTCAGCGGAATTATTTGAAAAATGGTTATCTCTATCGAAAATTTATATTAATCATGTAAATTAATACACTTTCGCTATTATTATATGTAATTTACATATTATAAATATATTTATAATTAAATATACATATATACCTTTTACAGTAAAAATTTAAATTTTAACTGTTATTCAAAGAATAAGTACGTGTTTAGAAAACAATTATTTTAATCTGAAAAATAAATCAAATTTAGAAATATTTTTTAATTTAATCATTGAAATCTTTTTTTCATTGATTTGGCATTATTTAATATTTTATTACCAATATTGGACACGATATGTCTTTCACAGTAAAAATTTGGGTTTTAACTCGAAGAATAAGTATACACAAAGGCAAAATATTTTGTAATCTATGAAATGAGTCAATCTGATAAATATTTTTTAGTTTTTCTGATTATTGATGATATTTTTTAATGATTTAACCGATACTTTTATTCAAAAATATATTAAATAGAAATAAATTACTGCAGATAAAATTGCATTAAATTAAAATTAAATGCATTTATAGAAACAAAACTTTAAATAGCAATAATGATTTTAATTTTCCATTCCAGGTGTGAAATAAAGAACTAAAATATTTTTAAACTGTCTTTAAAAATATATAGGTGACTTTTATATTCTCAACATAAGTTTTCTAAGCCGTTTATACTATACTTATATTCTGGAGAGTTTCAAAGTGCGAATTATAATAGTACCATAAATTAGCATAAATTAGATACAGAAAAAATGGGTTTTTTGCGAACAGCTCACAGAGAGAAGCGTACGGCGACTTTCCTTAGAACAATATTTGTATTATCCCGAGGGAACTAGGCGAGGGTGAAGAAATATTGAGACAGCATGATGATGAACGTTTAGTAATGGCGTTTGATTCGACAATGCGCCGGGAGCAAATGGCGAACAAGAAAAAAAAAAAAAAAACGTTTAGCCACGAGTGGGACATGCTAAACTCGCTAATTGCAAAAACCGCTGGCGGTGCCGTTTTTTATCTCGCTTTGTTTGGAAAGAACGAAGTAACTTTGTTGCCAGGATTTTACGCACGGACTGAAAATGGATATGATTTCTAGAGAAAGTATCAATATTTTTGTTCGTTATTAACATCATAAAAAAATTCACAGCTTGACGTAGAGAGTACTATAATGTGGAACATCTTGTTCTACATGCTTCTAGTTCCAGTTTGGGCACTTCCGACTTGGGCAAGCTGCCGATTCCTTTCGCGGAGCGTCAAAGGAATTTGGGGAAGCCTCCTTCGTTCAGCAGAACTGAATTTGACAAATGGTTTTATCCGGCAGTTGACGGGTGTACGTGCGCGCGACACGTGTCACGCGTGCCCGCCTTTTCCGATGTCGGGTGCCGAGAATACGTCGTTCCGACAAAATTTCGGAAGTCACGTCGAGGGATGTTGTCGCCTATTCGCGAAACGACGTCGGGAATTCCTAAGGCGAAACGACGCTGAAATATTTATGACGAAAATTGTCCGGGTATTAGCGAGATTGCATCTACAGAAATAATTTTTCATTAAATTTTATTAAATTTTAATTAACATTATCTCTATAATTCTTTTAGTTATATAAATATAAATCCTTAAAATTTGATCATATAAGAAGTTCTTCTTTTATATCAACAGGTTTGCTAAAAAAAATCTTGATTTTAATCTTGAATTTTGATCGTTCCAAACTAGATAATTTATTAAGCTTGCATTGCGACTTCTTTAATAATAATATAGGCTTGATTCGCCGAGATGGCGATTAATTTGTCCGACGACAAGTGGAGGGTTTCATCTTTTACTAGCATCTTTCGGCAATTGGCACGAGCTTGCCTGGCACCAATCCAAATTGAATCCATTAAAATACCTGATCGCCGCCGCCCAACCCTTCGCTGATAAAGGCCTCTAATTTCCGATTTTACGATATTCGCCGCAATGCCTGCGCGAGATGATGTTAATGCTCTGTGTGCATTCGATTTTATGTCGATTAAAAATTTGTTTCTGTTTTAGTTATTTATTATTCAACAAATTTAATCGTTTCTTTAATTTTCCTATAATTAAATTTATATTCAACTAAATTAAATTCGCACGGATTGTTAATTCTTATTAAATTAAACGAAAAAAGACTTTTGTCGTAGAATATTTCATGTTATGATTCTAGAGTTTTGTAGCATGTGTAAACTATAAAATTTTTTGATCTTATAACCGCTGACGATAATGGACTCTTATGAAACTATAATAATGACGAAAGACGTTCGTCGCTCGTATAAAAGTATTTAAGTACTTCGCTCTTTAGCGGACTAGATCGGAATTTCAATTGGTCACTAATGGATTCTCGATTTTATCCGTCTGCTACTTTTAGGTCATGCGAGTTTAAAAGTATCTGAATTAGTATGCAGGTGGATTCCACGTTGGATTAGATTGAGCTTATGCGAGGCAATTACTATTCTTTCATCGTATTATTCTCGTCAAATAAAATTGACAAACTCTTAAAAATCGATTAAAGCTCTAATTCATAAGTATTATGTTTGTGAATATCAAAATTGTTGAAACCAGTGTAACATTAAAATTAACAAATTGTCAATTAAAATTGTGTCAAAGATATAGTATATTTTATATTGTAAGATATTTTTTGCGGATATATTTTTCAGATACTGGAGCTACCAAATGTGAAATCCGGATTTTAGTCTCGAAAGGCAGCCAAAATGGGAAGAAATAGTATCACTGCTATTGTTATCGAGTAAACAACCAATCTAGAGGAATTATACGATCCAATTGACTTTATCTCTAAGCGCAAAATACACGATTTACGAGATACCTAGTATTTTAGCGCGGTATCCGGATTAATACACGGAGGAAAAATGTTGAGATGGATGACACTAATTCGAGACCTCTATAAATCACTCTGCTTTCCTCCTCTCCTCCAACCCTTTCACCCTTTATTCCGAGGATAAGTATCCGTGAGAGTGAGAGATCGGTGTGTGTATTTATGAAAGATGATAAATAATAAGAAAAATATAATAAGCGACGCATTGCCACGCCCCACTAACGTCGCCTATCCCCCTATGTTACGCTATCGGCTCACCACCTCCTCCTGCCATTTCTGGCCAACCCCCCTTTCGATTTCGCCTCGTCTGGATGCAATAAATTCACGTCCGCCACTCGACGGCACCGTCCCTTCCTGCAGATATTTCCCCCTGTCTTCCCTGAACCGGCCCCCATTTTTCTTCGCCCGGCAAAGTCGCGGGAAAATATCGAACGGAAATGCCGAAGCGCCGATGGAAAATACGACGACGTCGCAACAGGGCAGCGCTATCCCTTGCTTGTTGCATAAGTTTCCAGAATTTTGTTGTTCGAGAATTTTCGCTTTAGAAGAAAATATTGTAAATTGTTTGAGAAATCGAATGTTTCTCTTTAACAAGTTTTTTCTTCTTGGTCAATTGAGTGTCAATTTTTTTATTTTGAGAAAGCGTTGAAATGTTTATTATTTATCATGTTACTTTCGTTTCAATATTTGGTGTTACATGGTGCTTGTAATTAAATCTCAAATTAAAATTTGGTTTAAATATCTGGAACTAATTGATGACAATTGTTTTATTGCTTATGAACTGTGTTGGAGCTCGGTTCGTGAACACACAGTTCCATTATTTCCAGTCACTAATTATGCAAAAACTAATCGCCAGTTATATTGAGCCTTTCGGATATTTATTACATTCCATGTGCGCGGCGTTTTTCGTTAGTGGGAGTAAAAATGGTGAGCGAATCGGTCGATGACCGGTGCCCAGTAAATGGGTCGCGCGCAGGGTTATAAAATCTTATTTGTCAAGTAATGGCTGTGCTAAGATGTGGTTTGCTAGTATCGCACATTCTCTGCTAAACCATTCCTGAGAAATAGCCACCATCGACCATCATTATTCCATTTTATATTTATCACTTTTTTAATTTTATCAGTCCAAAACCTTTTTCAATCTCGGAATATTCTCAAATTCTTAAAGAAGCGCTCGCCTTGCATGATTTTATCGTCGTTACCGGCTAATTGGCGTTATGGACAAAGTGAACAAGCTAGATCGAATAAATAATTAATTATTCGCTCGGTGATAATTAATTTAATATGCACGGCGTACGCGCGAGTACTGCAGTTGCAATAGTGAAATTAGAAGCGTACACAATGCAATCGGGTTTGCTACAGTTAATCAGTTGGACGGTACACTATCACGGCTTACGATTTGTAGGACAAATGATACTATTGTTATCTAGAACTAGCAATGCTGAAATTTAATGAGATATCGATGAGATTTTGCTCTTTTCCGGTTAAACGTGGGCATTGAAGTAGCTTTCGAATTGTAAAAATAATAATTTTGAAATAAGATCTAATCGGATGGAAAAGAAGACATTTGATTGACGCGGAGAAAAATAATCGATGTAATAAAC